GAGACAAACCTCCAGCCTAAAAATCCTCCCTCTAGTAAATCCTATGCAGGGTGACTCCACAGCAGAAATAGGGACCTGGGTCAAAAGCCGGGTTTAATTCTAATTTAATTCTATAGAAAATTGTTCTCCTCCCACCCACGCTGGCAGCCCAGGGGAATGGACGCTCCTCTCTAAAAGCATCCTTGCAATAAAAATCCAATTCCTGCAACAGCCTCTTCCCCTCACTGCCTCCCCTCTGCTGCTGCGACGGGATCGGGTTGTGCTCAGTCACTGCAAGGGAATTTGCTCTGTGCATTATTCCCCAAGCACCATTTCCCAGAAAATCGTTCCTAATAAGTAGATCTCTGTCTCAATAGCAATTTTGTCCTGATGAAATAACCTCTCCCCGTCAGAGACCGAGGAAACCAGCTGCTTGTATTCAAGCTGCAAGTTTAGGGAGCTTTTAAAAAAAAAAAAAAATTAAAAAAAATGGAACAGGGCAGAAATACATGGCATGGGATAAGAATGAGCGTGCACAGCAGGATTTCTAGCAGTCACACAGAGCTGCTTCTTTGAGCTCTTATTACCCCTTTACGAGTCCCTCAGCAGCAGTTACCGACACCACCATCTCCATCTGCATCCCAGCACTCCATCAATAGCAGAGAGCACTCGGAAGCCCCGAAAGCCCAGGGGAGGGCAGGGGGTACCTCATCCTGCTGCCGTGCAGGGCCAGGGCCTCCTGGTACCGCTGGACACAGTCATCCTGGAAAATCAACAGAACCTTCCTGGCCAGGTGCCCTAAATTCACCCTGAAACCAGAAAAGAGAGACAATTATTATTTCCTTCAACATATGAAAATGAACGTCACAGTTCCCATGGCAGGAGACCTCGAGCTGGCTCCCGGCTGGAGGAAGGGGGACGGGATGCTCAGTGATGGATTTTGCATCAGTGTTATAAGAGAAAACAAAACCTAATGGTGATGGAGAGGAGAGGGAGGTTTTGGGGGGTGTACCCAGGTGGGGTACACCCAACTGGGCTGTCACCCCCCACCAGGAGGCTTCTGAGTTTAAGGCAAATGTCCAAGGTTGGACCAAAGATTAATTAAGATAAAGGAGCTGCCTGTTACATTTCACCATCCCTGGTACATCCTGAAGCGTGTGGTTTATTTCTTGCCCGTGTTAAATTCCCCTGGATTCAGTGGAAACTGAAAGGAGGATTTTTAAAGGCACAAAAGCCATCAGACACTTCACTCCACGGAAAGCTGAGCAGATCTGAAAGCACGGGCAGTTCCTAAATCAGGGCAGGTCCTGGGAAGGGGAGAGGGCTGGGACTTACTTATCCAGCTTGTGGATTTGTTCCTCGTTGTAGCCCAGCCCTGGGGAGGAAAGACAGCGGTCACCACACGTTTTCCTGCCCATAACCCAACAAACGGGCCATGTCACAGCACCCGGAGAGCGCTCAAGGGGCTTCTCAGGGCTGCGGCCCCTGGGATACCATCCTGGCACAGAAATAGCTGCTAAGATCAGCAAACAGAATTTGTTTGTTTTTTTTTTTCACCAGGCGAGTGCAGGGATGTTCCTGGTGCAGCCTCGTGCCCCCAGGGCCACTGTCCCCATCACTTACGCGGACACGTCCTGGCCTTCTTGAACTGCTTGTAGATCAGCTGCATCTTCTCCAGGCAGCACTCGATCTGCCGGATGCTGAAACGGGGACAGGGAGGGAGGCGTGAGGCTCCGCAAGAGGCAGGGTGTGAGGTTGGGGCGAAATTAGCACTTTGGGGTGAAATCAGTACTTTGGGGTGAAATCTGAACAGGCTGTAACAAGGGGACACTGGTGCTGCCCGTGTCTGTGTGCAGGGGCATCACACAATGCTCCATGCCTGTGCACGGGGCTGTTTGCAACGAGGGGCATGCAGCGATGTCTGCTCAACCCGGCTGAGAACAGCAAAGCCTTGGCAGAGATGGCGGTAAAGCTGGCACTACAAACCTTTTGTCTTCATGCACTTCTTGCCCGTGCTTCACCAGTTCAGCCAAAATGCCATCCAACGCCCCTTGGAAGTCAAAGATGTGGTGGGAGCACTGAGTGAGCTCCTCGGAGACCTACAGAAGAGGAGGAGAGGTTGGAGCAGGATGCTCCAAACACTGCCTGCAGCTGAGGATGCTGCCCAGCCCCACACAGAGCCGCCCATGGGGCTCACCCTCTGCAGCCTTGTCTTCACCATGGCCACATCCTTCAGAGCCGGCACCCCGCTGCCTGCGGGAACAGCCTCGTACCTGAATAAAGTAAAAAAAGTAAAAAAAATAAAAAAAAAAAAAAAAAAAGGATTTCTTAAGTGGAATAGAAGCCAGGCAGCAGTTTGCTGGGTACCAGATCTGATCCATAAGATGCAAAGTGCTGATCCGGTAAAAACTTGCGCCCGTTGTGTCCAATTTATTCCAAAATTATTAGTTTCATATCCCCTGGCTTTACGCCAGCTGAGCTGCTGTCTGCCTCCCCGCAGCTGGCACGAGAGGGTAGCTCTGAGCAGTGCTCAGTCAGCAGAAATTCTGATCCAGCCCCGCGCTGGCAGGGAGGGATACGGCAGCAGCATCCATCCAGCTGCAGCATTAGAGCTCTTGGCACTCCAGCCTCGCGCTAATCCGGCTGAAGTCAATGGGAACCATGTGTCGCTATCTCTTTGGATGAAATGGAAATTCAGAGACTTGCTAAATTGGAACGAATAAAATAACAGCAACCCAGCAGCAAACAATTTTCCACTACAACACAACAGAGGAGCAAAATAACCATGGGCTGCTCTAGATAAAACGGGTCCAGCTTTCCCTGGGGCAGCGTGGGGCAGAATGGGTGCGGCGGTCGTGGTGAGGGCTGCCCAGGATTTCTCTATAATTCAGCCACCGGTGAATGCTGCATTAGTGGAGCCTCTTGGTGGAAATAAGAGACATCTCATCACGGGCAGCGTGGTCAGGCGGGATGCTGTCTGGGTGGGAATAAGCGTGATGGGCTGCCAGCCACCCCCCTGTGCTCCCCGTGCTTGGCTCTCCAAGGCTGTTTGCAGGGAGGGGGGTCAGTGATGCCGGCCAGACCCTGCAGGGACCGGGCAGCTGGTGCCATCCTGACTGTTATTTTAACTCTGCTGGCAGCTGATGCCATTCCGCCCGTTATTTTAACTCTGCTGGCAGCAGCATCTCCTCTTCCCTTTGCCACAGCTGACGGCAGCAGCCTGCCTCCTTCTCGCACTCACTCTGTGGCTCATGGGCTGGAACAGACTGAAAGCCCCGGAGCAGGAGCCAGGGAGCGAGGACTAATTCTGGGGAACCAGGGACTGATCATTAAAAACTGAAGCAGCCTCCACACACAGCAAAAAAAAGCTTCTTACCTGACAGCTACCAGCTTATTCCAGGAATTTTACTTATTTCTGATTATTCAGGCACCTTTGAGAGTCCCATATCCCACCTGCCGCAGCCCAGCGCCCGCATCCCCGCGGCTGCCAAGGTCTTCACCTCCGGGAGCTGCAGGCAGGCGAGCACCGAGAGAGCCCCTCTCCTCTGCTCCAGAATCCGCAGGCACTCTGTCTTCAGGTTCCCACTGCCACGAGAGAAAACAGCCCGTCCAACGCACGCTCCCCGGCAGCCCGACCTCCATCCCGGGGCTGGCCGTGCACGGTGAGGGGTTAGGATGGAGCTGGGGGCTCCCCTCTGGCTGCTTGTGGGAAACTGGGGAGGGGGCTGGGTGGATGTGAAATGGGGTCTAGGGGGGGCTCTCGCCCACTGGCCACTGTCCTGCCAGTGCACAAGCTCCTGCCCCGAAGGAAGTGGATGGGACAGTGAGAATGCACAATGGTAATAATGATTAGAATAGTAATAATCATAGTAAGAACAATAAAAATAATAATAATGATGATGATGATGTTTTCACAGCATCTGCTGAACTGAAAAAAGTGACTCCAACTTCTGAAGTGGGGACAGGAGCATCTTCACAACACCAAGAC